TCAGCTCTATTTCTCCACTCACAGTCAAGGACCCAAAGTCAGAGACTAGTGCCACCGTACTAGGCTGGGTCTTCCCATGTCAATTATTGTAGTCAAGACAATCTGCCAAAGACACATTCACAGGCCAATCTGGTGTAGACTATCCCTCATTAAGACTCTCCTTCAAGGGTGATTCTAGATTGTGTCAAACTGATACACCTATACCTCCTTATTAAACTTCTCTGGAAATACCCTTATAGATGGACCCAGAGAGGTGTGTCTCCTAGGTTATTCAATTCTAAATCTAGTCAAGCTGATAATGATTGTTTTGTAAACTGTTGTTTTTCCATGTAGAGGTGTGTGTGTGTGTGTGTGTGTGTGTTTGTGTTGCAAGTGTAGTACAAGAAATATACTTTTTATTGTAGCTTAAGGCTAAATGGGTGATCTGGAGACTGTGTGGGAGGGGATTCCTGGCCCCCCTAGTTCTGGATGTGGTACTGATGCATTTGGGAGACCTCCCAGCCCACTGTGCTGAGCAGAACCTTGTCAAGAAATTCAGGGAGGACTCAGGAAAAGGCAGGCCCTGGGTGTTGTGCACCTGGTTTTTATGCTGTCCCACAATTCCATGCCCTGTGTGGGGCCCTATAGGAGGCAAGGAGCTTAGGAAGGAGATGGCCTCTCTGAAATCCACAGTCCAAGAAGCTAAGTGTGCTACATGCTATATGAGACAAGCAGAGTGGGCGGGTACATGAGGTGGTCTGGGGCCCTGCTTGACACGTTCAAACAGCAGCTTGTCGCTGCTAGGCCACTCTGAGTCCCCTGGATGCTCTGTGATAGTGTTCTATGTTTCTTTGACGTCTATGGCTACCAAGATGCCATGGCTACTGGGTCATGCGCACCAGGATCCTGGGCAACCTGGAGGAGCAGGACTCAAGCCATCAGGAACCACTTTCCTGTGGAACCGCAGAGTCACAGGGGGCATGCTAGTGATCATTGCTGTTAAAAATACCTGAGAAAATGGAGTTACAAAGAGAGAATATTTGTTCTGTCTCACAGTGTTGGAGAATCCAATGCCAGCACAGTTGCTTTGGGCCTGCGAGCAGCAGCACAGCAATGGTAGAAGTGCAGAGCAGAGCAGAGCAGAGCAGAGCAGAGCTACTCATCTTGTGGCTAGGGAGCAAAAGAGAGGACAGATAAAGGGGCTGGGGCCCACAGGCACCACTGAGGGCAGATCCTCGGAGACCTAAGACTTTCCCACAAATCTTTACCATCTGAATGTCCTCAGCACCACTCAGTGCAACACCCTGTGGGCCAACCCTTTAATCCATAGGCTTCTGGGGGGGCATTTAAGATCCCAACTATAGTAGTGGTCCTGGGATACAAATTTGATGGACCAGCGGGCAGGAAGACAATGAATGCCCACATACCCAACTCTCCTGCCTCCATAGTCAGCCTGGATACAGTGGACCCCACCAGGGGGAGCTAGGATGCCCATGACCTGGGCTTCCCGACTTGGCAGAGATGGGGCCTAGGATTGGAGCAGAGTTTCCAAAGGCCTCATTAGGCTGCTCAGCCCAGGGCACACAGTCTACTGGAAGGATGGATGAGCTACCTAGGATTCTAAATTCCTTTGTGGAAGATGCTGTGGGGAAGATCAGAAGATGACAAGCAGTCATCGCAAGAAGTACCACACCTTCACTCATCATTCTACCCTCAGTTCCCAGCACAGCATTTGACCAGTAACAGTCACAATACTAAACAGCCAAGGCATGCCCACAGAGAATGTGATGGTTCTATTGCTAAATTACGCACTCCCTGTAGAAACCCCACAGAAAGCAGTTTCTACAATGGCTCCAAGTTTCCCACATTTAGAAACTGAATCATGGAGAGGTTTAGAGGTTTATGGCAGGATACACAGATAGCGAGGGATGAAGACAGACCCCAGACCCGGCAAAGTGGTTCAGAGGTCATGCCTTTAACTTCTGTGCTATGCTGACTCTACAGAGTTACACCTGGCTGGTGCTGAATTTGGGAAGTGGGCTCCATGCTGTCCATAACTCTAAACACATAGAATTTTATTTTTTTGCCTGTGTAAGGATACACAGAAAAAGCACCCTAAGTCAGTGTGCCTTTACCAATGTGCAAAGTTCAACCACTTTCTGGTCTATCACCCAGGTGAAAGGACAAGAAACACAAGTCTGTGTCTCTACCCCAAAGAGCAGTTGTTAAGGCTGTGTGTCAGATCATCCTCTCTGGTCCAACCCCAACCTTGAGGCAGGGTGTGGAGGGGGAACCTGAGGTCTGCAAGCTCTCTGACCAGAGAACTTACCTTAGATATGAATCTGGGAGGCCTTGGCCCTCACTGGTATTGTGTGTTGGGGTGCTTAATGGTGCTGAGTACTTAAAGGGCTAGGGTGATGGCTCACTTGGTAAACCTCTTGCCCTGCAAGCATGAGGACCATTGTTTGAGCTGCAGAACCTATGTTCAAGAACTGTACATGGTAGTTTGCTTGTAATCCCATCACCAAGACAGAAGGATCCCTGGGCTCACTGGTCAGCTAGCCTAACCCACTTGGTGAGTTCCAAGACAGTAAGAGACTGTGTCTAAAAAAAAAACAAAATAAAACAAACACAAAGAAGCAACACAGTGGATGACACCTAAGGAGTGACATCTGAGGTCAATGTTTGATCTCCATCCACATACATACATGCATGCACACAAGCACACATAACACTCCCACTTATCCCATGTGAGTGTGTGCACACACATACCAGAGAGAGAGACAGAGACAGAGACAGAGACAGAGAGACAGAGACAGAGACAGAGAGAGACAGAGACAAAGACAGAGAGAGACAGAGACAGAGAGAGAGAGAGTGAGAGAGACAGAGAGAGAGAGAGAGAGCACTTGTAAAGTCTTAATAATGGAAGAAAGTATAGAGTGTGGATAATCCTGAGACTCAGTGCAGGAGTCTTGTCTGACCTTCTGCATAAGTATCAGCATGGATGTCCTTCAAAGCCCACAGCTGACTGAAGCAGATAAGCACAGGGCCCATTCACTGTATCTCAGACATGCAGATCCTTTGTCCAGCCCTTTGCTGAGCCTGTCTGGCTGTAGGCCATGTCTGCCTCCTTCCTCAGCCTCTGGTGCACAGGCAACATGGCTAGGCTGGGAAATCAAGAATTTGCTAGAGGAAAAGGACTCATACCCCCCACCTTCTTCAAAATTATAGGCATGACAGGTTTTGCACACATTCCATGGGGGTACACATTGCATGACTAATACAGCATCAAGACATCATACAAGTTTTGCATCTTTCATGTGATAAATATATATATTTTTTACTGTCATGCTTGAGAAATGGATTTTGTTTGAATATTGGCTGTTTCCTTTGATGGCTACTTTGACGTGGCTTCAAAGCCTATGGCAGACAAATCTGCTTTTCCATGCTGCAATACAGCCGTGGCTGGTGGGTTGGGAGATTTACAACTGAGAAATATCATGAATAGATGTCCAATGGCCAACAGCTGTTGATATTCATGGCCAGCTCAACTGCCCTGGCTGGGTACCCAGGCACATGTGAATAAACACTAGATTCACCAGGCTATGGCTCAGACCAAACTGTACTGGGATGTTCCTTTGTGAACTGTTTAGCCAGAGTACAGCCCCAAAGTATTTCAGCTCAAGTTGAACTTTTGTAAAACTGGTAGTGTTATTGTCTGCTCATTGCAGTAGCTGGCTATTGGTGATCTTGCTGCATGTGTTGAGTGGCCACTTAGAACAGGAGAATCTACTATTCAGTCAAATCTTTGGGAACTACTGCAGGCTGTAACTGTGTGTCTGTGCATGTGTGTATGCTATTATGTACATTCAAGTGTGAGAACATGTACGTATGAGTGTACATATACATTGTGTGGCACTGTACATGATTATACTTGTAGGAGCATGTACATACACAAAGTATATGTGAACATGGGTATGCATGTATACATGTGGAAATGTGCATGAATATGTGCACACGTTCAGGTTCATGCCTGTGTGTGCATGAGGGTATGGGGTGTGCATGTGCATACGCAAGTGTGAGCACAAGTATATGTGAATATTTGTGTACACGTATACAGCCAGCAAGTGTAGCAAAGTGGCACCAGGGCCCAGGTAGTGATTCAAGACCCTTCTCCAATGCATTTATAAAGCCCACCTTACTGCTAGCCTGGCATCAAGTTGTAGGAGTTTCCTATAGACCTGGCCATAGGCCTCTGCCCTGTGGGGAGCTGTGGAAGCAGAAAGGAATTTGCCAGATTGCCCTGGGTGTGGGCTCTCTTCTGGCTGTCTCAGACATATTGGAAATAGTTACTCATTTATCAGAGGCCATAGCTATCTTTAAGGGTCTTTGTGGGTGATAGAAGGAACACAGCCAGGAATGGTGAGCTTTTCCAGTTCTGTTTTCCACTTTTTCCTAGTTCTGTGGCTCACTTAAGTCCCTTAACCTCTCTAGGCATGAAGAACTGAGCTAGAGATCCAAATGTCTGTGTGACCTAAACCCAGTGACATGTTAGGAATGAAGGACCTTCGTGATCACCTTGTATTTATAGATGAGAAAACAGAGGCTTGAAGAAGAGGATGGCATGCCATCCCTGCCCAGTGTGGGGCTGACCAGAGAGTCAGGACTAGAGAGCAGGCCTTTGGTTCCCACTGGCATTCACTACCTACCCCTTCCATGTCACCCCATGGTATTCATAGTGAGACCCTGGGCCCACAGTCTCAGCATCACCTGTAATACATAGACTACAATCCTCATACCCACATACCCTACTGAATAGGAGACTCTGGGCTGGGTACCAGGGGCTGCGGGCTTCCCTTTGCAGCATGTCCCAGAACTTCAGACAGAATTGTGCTGAGAAAGGGTCTCCTGTGGGGCCCATGTCTTTCTCCCATAGATGTGAATCCCCATCAGGAGAAGCGTGGCCCTCAAAGGCCAGCAGGGTGTGTCCAACAAATTCATCCCAGGAAACCAATGTGTGGACACTCAGTGTTTTATGTGGGAACGTGAGGTGTATATTTAGGAGTCTGGGTGTTCAGCTCCTCCTGGCTGTCAGCTCTCAAGGAAGGAGAATGATGGTGTGTGCTTCAGAGTTCATTATATCTCCCCGGCAGAATTCTAGGAGTAAAGGGCAGTTTTAAAGAAGTAAGTAATGGTGCTCATAAATCCAAGTTCCTGAGATACATTCATTCACCACTCCCTAAAATGAAGTTTTTGCATGTGCTTTTTATTTCATCAGCTTGGAGGGTAAAACTCGAGCCTTTGCATAGTAGCTTTGTTGTACATAAGTTTTGGTCCCCTCTGTTTCCCTGTCTGTGAGTATGTACACACCAGGTGCTGGCTGCCCCACCTGTACTAGACATCTTGGCTGTGAGCTCAGCCATACCCATACCCAGAATTCCTCAGTGCAGGGGTGGGGGGTGGCTACAGATTCATCACAAGTTAGTACAAGCTTCATCTGCTGGGAAATGCAGTTGTCATGTCCCTGGAGTGAGCTCAGCTTTCTCCCAAGAACCCCAGCTAACACCTGTCAACCCTTTGACCTCAAACCCACCTGACTGGGGCTGTACGATCACACCTTTGTGGTTCTCTCCCAGAATGCAAGGCCTGATTCCTCTACCTTGCTCTTTGACTGTAGAAAGCAGCCCTGACCAACTCCTGACCAACTGCACTGGGTGGTCACAGTGGATGTTGGGGTTGAGGTAGCAGTAGACTCAACAACTCTCAGCTAGGGATCCTTTGCCTCATTGCAGCCCTGGGACAGAGTCTTCAACCATCTTCTCTATAGTGAAGGGAGGTGGATCCCGATCAACTGATCTCTACAGTGTCAGCAGAGTACCGGCCACCCAGAAATCTGCCTGTCTGCATTGCTGAAATCTGTGGACATTACAGCCTCCATGAAAAGGAGAAGTCAGGCTGCAGATGAAAGTGGAATGCTTAATCCCACTGACCTTGAACTTGAAAGCAGCCTGAGAAGACCACATTCTTGAATGACTGTAATGTTCTGAGGGAGTGGGATACTGGAAAGCAGAGGAGGCCAGTGTTCTGTGAGGAGAGAGACCTGCTGCTGTAAAGAGAGAGTAAGGGCCATGGGCTAGGAACCTGGCAGCCTAGAGAGGCTGGAAAAGGCAGGAAATAGATTCTCTCAGAGATCCTAGGAGGAACAAACATATCCATAACTTGGTCTTAAATCAATGAGACCCTCTCACGTTCCCATTTCCAGAATTCTAGAATAATAATAAACGTGGGATCTTATAGCAACAAGTCTCAGAGCCTTGCTTCATCTGGGCCCAGGACAAGGCTAGAATTTGGACCTGAGACCAGATGTTAGCAGGAGGAAGAAGAGATCACCTCTTAGGCTAGGGGTGTGGGGCAGGGGTGCTTCACAGTGAACCTGTGTTGAAGGAAGGGTCTGGACACTGACTGCACATGACCGCTTTCCTTGGGTAGTTCATGAAGCTTGTCCTACTGGGAAGAACTATAAACCCAGTCTAGGTTTCTCCGAAAGGCCCAGTATCAAGGTTTTTAGGGAAAGGGTGAATTGTTACCAGCAGGAAGCAGGCAACAGGACTTCAATGAAAGCTGTTGAGACTATGGTTTGCTTCTAGACATTCAATTAGCCCCTTGCTTTTCAATTCCAAAGGAATTAGAAGGGTTTTCTAAAAAAAATCACTGAATTGGACATTCATCAGGGTGAGCATTGTGATATATAAATTATGTCTCAGCAAAATTGTTTTTAAAGAGAGGGAGGGGAGAAAAAGGAAGCCTACTTTAAAAATTGTATCCAAGACACTCAGTGTCATCTTTGTCTCTATCTGATGCTTAACTTTCACCTGTAAAAGATGGAAGTTGGTATTTTGTAGATGTAGTTTCTGTCCCTTCTGGTCCTGTAGCCATTTAGTCCCAAATAAACACACAGATGCTTATATTAATTATAAACTGTTTGGCCAACAGCTCAGGCTAGCTCTCTCATAGCTATTAACCCATTTCTACTAATCTAAATATTTCCACATGATAATGGCTTACCAGAGAATGCCCAGACCTCTTACTCCTTTGGTGGCTACATGGCATCTCCCTGGTAGCTCACCTTCTGTGTCCTCTCCATAGAATTCTCCTCTTCTGGTTGCCCTGCCTATACTCCCTGCCTGACTACTGGCCATCAATTAATAAGAGAAACATATATACAGAAGGACATCCCCCATCAGTATTTATGTGTCTATGTGAGTATATGTGACATGTGTGCTCATGTCCACAGAAGAGAACATCTGATCCCTTGGAGCTGTAGTTTAATGGGACACTCACCAAAGACAACTTGGGTCAGTTTTCTGGAGGAGACACTGGATCTACCCACCATATTGTCCTCTGTACCAATCATCTGGGAGGAGAGATTTTGGGGATCCATCACTGGGCTCCCTCTGATTCTGAATCCCTTCAAGGTGTGGAGAGAAGGGTGGGGGAGCAGAAGAAGGAAAGAGTGAGAGGAGGTAAAAAGGGAAGAGGGTAAGGGTCAGGAGAAGAGAGGGGTACAGTTTCCTTCCTTCTCTGTCTGCATTTTCTGGGGTGGCAGCTCCATGTGCTGTCCTGTTTGGATGATTCTTAGGCATCAGGGACTTACCCCAGAACTCTAAGAGATAGAGGTGATTTCTAGCTATGACTACCTTACATGGAGCCCCTGGAGAAATGTCTGTCACCAGCATGAGGGTACGTAGTCACTGGTTTGGTGAATGAGATAAGCAACTGAGCACACACAAGCCCCTACAAGGCCTTCCCTACTACACACTCCTACCTGCCAGCAGGCTCTGCTTCTTTCACCCATTAAATGAGACTCCCAGAAAGATTCTGGAATTCCCTAGCAAGATTGGATACATGTGTAAGTAAAGAAACACACACACACACACACACACACACACACACACACACACACACAGGAATTTTATACAGCCATAAAGAACAATGCAATCATGACATTTTCAGGAAAGTGGATTGAGCTAGAGGTCATTACGTTAAGTGAAACAAGCTAGACGCAGAAAGACAAATGTGGCATGTTCCTCTCAAATGTTGGGTCTGGATTTAAATTTATATATGGGGTGCATGTGAAATACATGAAAGGGCCTATGGGGGAGGGGGAGGTGGTCTTGAGGAGAAGAAGGTACTGAAATACACACATGTAACCAAAAAAAAAAAAAAGACAAGTGGAATGTTTGGGTGAGGAAGAGGTCCAGCCAGAAATGGGGAAGGGAGAATTGAGGGGGGCAGTGGAAGTGGGTGAGGATAAGAACAAAGTACACTGATGTGTATATGTATGAAAATACCATCATGTAACAGTATATTGTATGCTAACTTAGTATTTAATATAAAAATGGAACAAATACTGCTTTCCTAGTTCCCTTACCTCCTTGTTGTCATGTGTGTGCATGTGTGCACCTGCACAGGGGGTACGTGTATGTGCAGGTGTGCCTGCATATGCATTGAGACCACAGGACAACCTTGGGTGTCACTCCTCAGATGCCATTCACATTGTGTTTTTCTAACAGTATCTCAGTGGTCTGGAACTGAGCGGGTAGGCTAGATTGCCTGGGCAGTGAGCATCAAGGCACTTTCTGTCTCTGTCTCCCCATCACTGGGATTATAAGCATATGCCACCACAACTGGTTCCTTTTTGACATGGGAATCAAATTCAAGCCCTCATGCTTGTAGAACAAACACTTCACCAGCTGAATCACTACCCCATCTCCCAATCCCCTAGTTCATCTTTAAGAGCCTGCTGGTTTCATGGTGGTTGTCATTTGTACCCACACCAAATAACAAGGTAGGGACACAGTGCTGTAACCTCTGTCTTCAATCTGTTTGTAATACATTATTATGCAACACAGGCCTAATTGTGAATCATAATTTTTTCATTAACTGATCTCATTTTACTTGGTAATATCCATTTAGGCATTTGAGAGCAATAAAACTCCATTTCTTTTAAATATTATATGATTCAGTTGGCTCACTGATTTAGATTTTACTACCCCCTATTTGAACAAATGAGTCATCTATCTTTGTAGAGATAACGAGGACCTTCAAGATCATGAAAGCAGGCTTCATGGGGAGAATTGCAGGTGCACCCTAGTCTTGAATGGAGCATTCTGGAATTGGGCTGGCTCCCACATCTTAAAACCCCTCAGAAATGTATTGCATGGGTCATACTGTGCTTTTCAATAGATCCTAACCTGAGTTTTCTTTTATGTTCCTTATAAACAAAACAAATAAATAAACAAACAAACAAAAAAGAAACTGGTAATGAGATGACTCACCTTGTCCTGTGGGTCCTGGTCTGCTGCTATGAACAGCCATAAAATGTAGTGGTGGATCCACTGTGGGGGGAGGCATGAGGGAACCTGCTAGGATGGAATCATCCTAGCTCTTCCACTTCCTCCTGGGTGACCCCATGCACATATCTGGTGCTCTGTGTCTCTCTCTGAGGAGGGTCACTTAAGATGAAGGGTTGTGTGGGCATACTTAGGAAAAGGCCCTGGCTCAGACTTGTCTAATGTTAATGAGTTACACCTCTGAGCTAGTGGGTGGTCAGAGCCCCCAAAGGAGACGTTCTTATGCAAGCTCCCCCTGGGAGTCTGGTGGGCAACTAAGAATGCCTTTATGTCTGTGTCCGTCTCTTCTCATTTGCATCTCATTCCTGCATCACCTTGCTTGGGTCTGCTTTCTGAACTGCTGAACACTTCTAGCTATGCCAGTTTCCTGCCTCTGAAGTCCTCTGGTATGCCCAGAGATCCTGGGACCTTGAAGTCTCCCTCTGGAACGAGGCAAAGACACTCTTCCCAGATCAACTCTTAGTAGAGTAGCTTAAGAGTAGGTGGACATCTGGAGCATTGAGGCCCCTGATCATGAAGACCTGAGTACCCTGGCCCTGTCTCCAGCTTGTGTCGTTAGGTATGCTGTGTATCTACTAGCTCCAGACAAACAGCTGAAGGGACCCAACAGGTGCCCCACCTGCCTCTCCTGGTCCTGGCTTACTTCTTACTTCTTGGTCTGGTCCCAGGCCCTGGGCTCCACCTTATATGTTCATGACACAGAGGGAAGCATAACCAGTGGCCTAGGCATCTCTGTTTACTGTC